TTCCTGTAGCAGTTGTCTCTCTCTCACCAGCAGGAGACGCAAAAAAAAAAACACATAGAGAGAAAAAAAACAGGTTAATGCAAGTCCAGATGTTTTTCACAGGCTTCAGCAGTAAAACCAACCCCCCTCTGTCATATATCACTTCTGACAAGACAAAGGGAACTCTCAGCCAGAGAAAAAACTTTCAAACCCCCACCAGTTGAATGCAGCTCAACTGGTAAGTCAATACACAAATAAAAACAGAAAAACAACAAAAACTCCACATTTAACACAGAAACACACTTTTAAGACAGAAACACACACAGGCCTGGACCCCTTGCTTAAACAGAGCTTTAAAAAATAACAAAAAAAYTCCTGACATGTCTCCCTTTAAACTACATGAGACAGCCTTCATCACTTAGCCTCTTAGCTAACTCCCCGACCTTTTTCCATCGGACTTATACAGTGCTCAGGCCTCAAAGTCACTGYGACCGTGTAATCCTATCCGGGTGAACTAACAAAGATGACAAAGCTGAACAGCTTCTCTCAACCTGCTACCTAACCGCAGCTAACAGGATGACAAAAGGACGTCTCCCTGCCGATCCTTCAATTTAACCACGGTGGTGCGGTTAACACACTTAACCAGAGATGCGCATCCCAACACTTTAACTTCAAAGTACGTACTTTTACACATAACCACCAGAGAACACACACTTTTTTCTCTGTGGCGGGCAACACTGTCAAAAAAATAACTAATAAAATAGCTTAGCTTAGCAAGGGTTGAACACACTAAGAACAGTACAAAGCCAAAACTCTAGTGGTAAAAACTACACATGAAGTGAGAGGTAGAAAAAAATGTAAACCAGATGGCTGTACACAGCTACCCCCACTGCGCTATAAATCAGTTTGGACAAGACAAAGAACTGTTTTGAACCACACCCCTCTTTTAAAACTTTGAACGGCCAGTGTTCAAATTTCCACTAAATCAAGCTTTTAAACACAAAACAAACTAACATAACATAACAATAACAGACAACAACACACAAAAAACTTAAGAAAAATAACTAGATTCCTTTTCTCTATTTTTTTTTCCTTTCTCTATGTTTTTTCTCCTTCAAAAACTGGCCAGACACATTTAAACTTCTATTTCAATACTGAGAGAAGTCTGTAATCTCACATTTCACAGCTTGACTATTTAAAACATAAAAGGAACAGTTTTATCGTACTTTAAGCTGGTTTACGACATCTCGTGGCATGACAAAGCACTTTTTCGCGCTAACAACATGTGCAGCGCCACACCCAGAGCATGTGCTGCGCAGCCCTTTGTTCTCCTCGGAACTACGTAATTCGACGATAAACGCTATTTTTTAACCCCAATAAAAACACAGATACACAAAAACAGAAACAGAAACGCTAGCATAACAAAAGAAACTTGATTCTAGACACGAAAAAGACACAGAAACAATCTGAATTCTACACACATATGATCCACGCTCTCCACACAGGCTCACAGCTGCATTTAACAAAGATAAATGCAAAACAGACCGAATCTCGTGACGCCATTCTGTTGTGTCTCTTTCTGGTCCCTGGTTCCGTTTCTGCTCGGTTCGGCTGGGCTTTGTCAGCTGCTGAGACCCTTCTCGTCTCCCTTGTGTGCTCACTTCGGCTCCTGGTTGGTGGCTGCTCACTCTGGCTCTGGGGCTGCTTTGGAGCGTCTGTCGGCTGGTTCTGCTGTCGGTGGCTTGTTCTCCGACTGGCTGGCGGTGGCTTCGCTGGAAGATCAGTGAGCTCCCTCCTGTAGACTCGTCAGATGTCAATAAACTCTAATCTAACATTTGAATGACGAAGAGGCGATACTTCAGCTTCTAGACATGTTTATTTAACGAGAGATAAAGAAAAGCGTCTACCCAGCTAAAATGTTACTCTGACTCCTGCCCCAAGAAGCGTGCGCGTGCCTTCATGCGCGCTCCGGTCGGACGCCCACGAGCTGACGCTCGTTCACATTCCCTTAAAGGGCCATACATGAAAATTCACCACACTATGTTTAGTTTTAGCCAGCCTTTTTTACTCATATGTTCCTATGTAAGCTTTTTGATATCTTTAGCTTTTAGATATTCTTCTTTAAGCTAGTTTTTTGTTACTTAGCGTTTACTGCCCTGCTACTTTAGCTCTTAGTACCATTTGCTGTTTTTGACTTTATATTCTACTACATTAAGTGAATTTTTAGCCTTTTTTTTAGGTTTTAGACCTGCTACTTTAAGCTAGCCTTTTACTACTTCCATTCTGCTTATTTAAGATAAATGTGTGCTATTTGTTTAGCTTTACCATACTACTACTTTTAGTACATTTAACTTTTTAAAAACTTTTGCTACTTTAATCTTTTAGCTAGCCTTTTGTTTTTTGTTATTTTTAGCTTCCATTTAGGCTTTAGCTGCTTTTAGCTAGCTTATTGCTACATTTTTTGCAAACATTTTGTTTTTTTTTTAGCTGGTGTTCGGCTAATTTCCTTTTTAACATCTCAACTTCATTATTTAGTCATTTTCAGCAAAATTATTCAAGACACTGAATGTTTGTACAAAATGCAATTTCTCTTGTCTAAAGTCTCTTTTTTTAGTAAAGTTTTCAGTTTTCTTTGTAATTTGGAATTTCTTATTAGAGTTCATTGGGCCGCATGCAAGAATATGTTCCTATTCTTATCCTAAATTTTTCTTACTTTTGTTCGTATGAAGGGTTCGTACGAACATGTCACGTCAGATTCAACAAACTCTTCTATCTTCAGGAAAAGTATGTAAATGAGCTGCATAAACTGATGAATGCGTATCAGGTGCTCGTGCACTGGGAGAGGAGATTAGCATAATTACCACCCAAAAAACACCATATAAGGCTACGTTTCCTGCCACACATACCTGGGGTCAGATTTATAAAGGATTGCATTGCAACCATACTAAAAACGAACGTACGGCCAAAAGGCGAAAATGGCGTACACAAAAAAAAATCAGATTTATAAAACCGTGCGTACGCATGTTACTGCGTGTGATTTATTTTCAACTCGAAATATCTTCAAACTAATAAAATATAAAGTTATTAATGAAGAAAACCCGTCTGGATAACAGCAGACTGACTGCTCGTAAAATATACGACAGGTCTGGACCACTCGTAAATTTTGTTTGTATCTGAAGAAAATCTTAGAATAAGAAAAAATTGGTGAATGCCACAAATTCTCCTAAATCACTCGTACGCACAACTTAAAAACAAATCTGTTCGTATGAACGGTTCTTGCATGAGGCCCATTGTTTTATTTGACTTACTCAGGTTTCTATTAAATTTCTGAATAAACCAGCAGCTATATCATATCTGCAGGTGGCGATGGCGCCTGAGGCCTCATTCCCATTTCGGACTGTTGATGTTCCTGACCACGCCCACTACACTATCGGCTCCGTCATCCTTGCTATCGGCATCACGGGGATGATTGGGAACTTCCTGGTTATATACGCCTTTAGCAGGTACACATAGATGACTTCCTGTTACCAAATAAGGTCACAGTTTTTGTCACGCTGTTGCTGTTGCAAAATCATCTGCTGTTAACCAGAAACAGTTGTTGGACAATGGTAAAATTTCAAATTAGTGTTTAGTTCTGATTTAGCACAGGTGCTTGAGACATGCAGTAAACATGCTTGTGCAACTTTACACACTGGAATATAAAAAAACAAACAAAAAACAAAAAACAAAAGAAAGAGTCCTAATCTTGAAATTTTTCATAAATTTGCTCTTCAAGTTATTTTCAAGATTAGAAAAATGAAACTCAGAAAGAATGAAAAGAAGATTTCCAAATGTTTTTTATTCAATTTTTTTTTTCTTTTAGGTTTTTAACAAACTCAAATTATTTTAAAAAAACAACAACATTGCGTGGGTCTTTCTGTGTGGAGCTTTGTTGCTATCCTCATGTTTGCATGGCTTTCTCCAGGTACTCTCCAAGTTCAAAAACATTCATGTTAGTTTGCTTTCAGGTCCAGGTCTCCTTTGAGATCAGTGATCTCAATGGGATTTGCCTGGTTTAAAAAAGATTAATGAAGAGATCAAAATAAAAGTGTAAAAAAATGTGCCACAATCCATAAAAGGTAAAAGTTAGCAAATAAATATTAGAGAAAAACTAAGTACAAATATTTAATAACATGCAGTCTGATTAGCTTTTGTTCACAAACCTTCAAAAACTCTAGCGATGATTTGTGAATGCTGATAGAAAGCTCAAAGATCAAGATAATTCCTCAGTCGTAACAAGTCATCACCTTCAACCTAAACTCTCAGAATGTCCTGAGATATCTCAGTAATCCAGGTAAAAGATCAAAAAGAAAAAAATTGTATAGGTCTTCTGGACGGGTTCTTCTCTAATGAAACGTTTCGTCTCTCCTCCAAGAGACTTCTTCAGTCTGAGAGTTTCAAACTGCAGTGGCTGCATCAAAAACGGTTTTAGTTGTAATCCTATAAATGTAATAT